TCATTTGTGAACATCACACTTAGAAAATCATTTGACGATCGTCACATTGCATAACCGGGCACAGATTCACTTATTGCAAATGTTCAGAACCCTGAAAACCTCACGAGAACTAAGATCGGGACCTGATACCCGATCTATATTATGTTGTTTAAAAAATTATTTATATAAAAACCTCTATTTATCTTAAAGCAACACCCTAACCCTAAGTTTTAATAGAGGTGGTTATTTCTAACCAATGGTACAGAGAATAATAATTCTTTAAAAAAAATATACACTTATAGAGAATGCATGTAAATATGGTTGGATATTATTGAATAGCAAACATAATAAAAAAAGTCTTGAACACTATATATACAACATATACAGCATATACAGTATTTTCAGCAAAGTGATTGATTAGCTTCACTTTGAGAATATTACATAAAAAATTTTTTTACTTTGAAACATTACGCAACGATTTTTTTTATTTTTTTTTTTTTACTACAGGAACATTTTTTTCTTTATTATATATTATGTAAAATAAATAAAATATAAGCGTGGCCGGCGGGAGTTTCCGGATTTTTATTATTAGATTTAATTTTTTGGGTTAATAACTGGCTAAGCCAGTTTGGCCGTATCAAAGTTATCGACTCTAAACTAAGCTTGCAAGCTTCTACAATCGCTATTTAGTCCTGCTCGGAGTTTGCATACGAAGCAGCATCGTCAAAATCAACATCACCCTAATTTTTTTAAACCATGGTTGGTAAATATAATTGGTAAACATATGAAAATAAAAATCAACAAAACATACCCGAACTGATCCAGTTCCAGTTGTATTTACTGAAAATAAAAAAGACAAAAAAAAAAAAAAGAAATTAAGCAAAAGTGAAAAAATGTAGAATAATATATATATATATATTTACCCTCCATGCTTAAAAGACTCATATTATCAGCGACACTTGTGCGATCATCATCAACCGAAGCAACCGATGATAGGACATCATCATCTATATCACCATTAACGTTTCTTCGTGCTATACTGTTAACCATACGACTGCCAGGAGAAGCCAAGTTTGATGTTAAGATGCCGTCTGGATACTTTTCTTTGATTTCTAATTGTAGTATAGAATGCCTTAATTTCTTACATCGTTGATTTGAGATTTTGTATTAAATATGTGAAATGACTTTTACGTACCAGCTATAATATCTTGCTCATGGTTGTCTTTATAATCTGGATATGATATAGCTGGAACAACGTTGTTACGCGTCTTTTTGGCAAGTTCTTCGGCAATAAGAGCCTTTAATTAAAAAATCAGTGTTAATGCGTATAATATCTATATTAACTATGTTTATAGATAATATAACAAAATTTACATGTTTAAAATCCGAAAATAAATTTTCGTAATCGGCTGGATCTGCCAATGCTTCTGCCGCTTTCTTTTTGTTTTGCTTCTCGAGTGATTCTCGCCATAGTTTTACAACTCTTGAAACATGGCTTTTATATTTATATATTTTATATTTTAACATAAATACTCTTGTATTAATCGTAGAAGTGCCATGAAAAAAATGAGACTCCGACAAACCTAGGAAGATATGTGCGGGCAAACATTGCAGCCTCAGGAATACGATCAGTTTTTATTAACAGATCTATACAGTCTTCGACTTGACCGAGTTGTAGGTAGCATACGAACGCCACATTGTTCTTACCTTCTGAAACTAGATTAAAACTAATATTAAGCTTCAAATATTATCAAAATGTAGGAAAAGACTGTTCGTCCAAGAAAAGAAAAATTACCAGCTGTTTCAGCTAATTCTTTTATTCCTTGGGAATTGCCAGAGGCAGTATATAAAAGCAATAAGCCACTAATATCCTTGGCTTTTTTGAGGCACTCCTCAGCTAGAGAGAACTATTATAAATTATTATAGCATCAATTTAAGTTGGATATTGATTATAAGGGCTTAATCATAACACAAACCTTCCAGGCACTCAAAGCTGAATCACCAATTGCTTTCCATTTTGCGTCAGTACCAACTTCACGAGCAATTTCCACGGCAACGTCGAGTTTATTGAGTTGAACTGCAAGCTCAAACTTGTGTTCAATATCGGTTGATACTTCAAGAGCAAGCTCTTTTAAGTCTGTTAATAAATTATAAGCATTTTTTAATGAACAATAGATAGATATTTTATTCTTAAATTAATTTGTCACCATACCTTGGCTCTCTAAGAATCTTGCAATTCTATTCCTTTGATCCGCAGGGATCGAAGGAAGCAATTGTTCAGCTGTTTCAAGATCGTTCCGGAGAATTGCGGTTTGATATTCAATAACAGTCAAGGAAAGTGCATAACTATAGACATTGACATCCTATTATAACAAATTACCCAAATTAATCAAAATGGGTATGTACTTATTAAGAATAAATATAAAAAATACCTTGTCCGCTAAGTATATACGATTATCCTTAGGAATGTACCCTAGTAGGTACATATTTCTAAAATTACAATAATTAAATTGAGTGAACGTAAAATATTTCGATATTCTTATTAGCATACTTACGTGTCAAAATGACTAATAGTAAATGTCTGTGCACCAACAAGATAATTCAGGCGATTGGCAGTATTTGTATAAATAAAACAGTCACCAACCCACGCTCCCGTTTTGATGCTACGTGAGAAAAAGTAGTAACAAATTGATAAACTTTAAGTAATTGAGAGGTCATCAAAATTAAATTCACCTTTCTGGAACCTCCGTCACGAATTCGAAAGCCTGTTCGACACCTTCATCGCCAACTTCACCCCCACTTTCCAAAAATTGCACATAGGCTAAGCGGTTAAAACGTAAGACATAGAAAGTATCCTCGCAGGCAATGGTCACAAGGTCACCAATATCTGACCAATGAACCTAAAATATTGAAGATTAAAAATACAAAATTGTTAAAATACATGCATTTACATTTTAAATAAAATATAATGATTTTATCGAACCAGCTTACACTTTTCGGAATGACATCAATTCTTCTCACGACTAAAGCTGTTTCCCAGTCATACAAATTTAAAAATGTGGAGCTTTTTACACCTAATAATGTGCCACCAAAAATTCCTTCAACAGTAAAATTGACTTTTAATGCATTGCTTCTCTCCTTGAAGTTTTTATAAAGTTTGATTTTAGTCGCAGACTCTCTAACAGCATATCTTTTAAAGATATAATATGTTAAATAAAATAATAAGTTCGGTAATAGGCAGTTTATATTTATATGTTAATAATACTCTTACTCGTTCGAATCTAAAGCCCATACAAATTCAAGCCCATTACCAAAACCTTTGTTTCTCCAAGCTAACGCAGTATAAATAATGTATTCGCCATCCCCACAAACCACCACGAACCTGCACGTAAAAAAAATAAAATAAAATAAAATAATAAATAAACGAAGAATTCAAAATTATAAAAATATTCAAACAAATCCCCACCTTCCGTTCGGACTGTGCTGTAAAGTTTGAGGATACACTTCACAACTACCCAAGTCTTTGATGGGTAAAGGAAGGCGATCACCATCTTTAATATTATCATCTGTCAAATGCAGTGAATAAATTAATAAAAGCTTTGTAAAAATTGTTATCAAAATTAGTTGCCATACCATGACCAGCCTTTATATTGGCTGTTTGAATTTCATTATGTTTTGCCCAAATTATTTTCCCAGAATTATCCATACTCACTGCCGGTTCTTCACGCCCTAACTACAAATTCATGACAACAAAAAATTGTTCTAGCCTTCGTATGTCTAGAAAAACCTCATGTTCATAGCAACTAAACAGACCTTAACACAGACTGCACCTTCGTCATAACCAAATGCAACATTATTATTGCCTTTCTGGTAAGCTACAGTCCAGGCGCGTTCTAGACCATAATTGAGAGTATTTTCTAAACGATAAGTATTAGAATGCCAAATCTTTATAGTACCATCTTCGCTACCAGAAATGATTATTGGCAATTCAGGATGAAAGCATGCAAATGCAGCATTCTGAGTATGTCCTTCTAAAGTCTGTACGCATGTCTTGTTTTGATAGTCCCAAATTTTAACAAGTTTATCATCGGCAGCTGACACAAGATATGGTTTTTCTCCACCGTGATAATATTCTACCCAATTCACACCTTTTTCGTGACCCTCAAGTGTAAAATTTGCAACAGCTGATCCGAGTGACCAAACTTTAATCGTACGATCCAAACAAGCAGATGCGAACGTATTCGAATCCTTTGGATTAAAATTGACATTCATAACGTAGTGTGTATGGCCCTCAAATACCTAAGATTATTACAATCATTTTAATAACACCCACGAACAATGAGTCTAAAATTATATTATAAAAATAAAATAAAAAACCTGAATACATTTCCATCCTTTTTCCCAATCCCATAATTTAATTGTCATATCATCAGAACCACTCAAAAAAAAAGGTTGCGTAGGATGTATAGCAATGCAACGAATATAATCAGGATGAGCCTCAAAGGTTGTAACCTTCTCGTGTGTGTTATAATTAAATACGCGTATTTGCATATCATCTGACCCGGTAATTAGCCAATTTTTTCGAGCAATAAACCTTGCTGCACGAACTGCAAAAATAAATAAATAAATAAAATAAATTCACCATTTGTTGAAGTTTAATTAGTTATTTATTTTTCATATAATAATTGTAGGTTACCTGGCACATCTGTTACTTCAAAAGTTTTCACCAGGGCCTACATGTTTTTGGTTTTTTAAATAAATTACATCCACAATTAGTCAAATAATATTGAACTACGCATTCGTAAAAGAATGATAATTATATGTAAGGTCAATTGATATTCATTCGCCAAAAGCAAGGTTTACTAGATCAAAGATTCAAAGCCTGGTCATAGTAGTATCCTTTTGTCTCTCACATCAAGACCTTGCCCTAAATAAATATGCATATATTTAAACAGAACAGGCTTAAAATGTACCTGCGTTTCGTAGTTCCAGATATAAACATTGCCATTGTACAAGCTTGCAAGTAACCATGGTTCCGTTGGATGAAAATCTACGCATTTTACGCGATCTGAACGGGCAAATAGCTTGCGCTGTTAAAATAATTGAGAAAATAATTTCAATATTTGGTATTGTAAAATATAGACAGATAGAAATGGCTTTCCTGCAGCCTAATTATGATTCTCGATTTGATTCAAGCCTCTAATAAAGAACGTAATTAACCTTGATTTCCAGTCGCATTCCCTGATCATCGTGTGGAATGTATGATCAAAAACCAGAGAAGTTAGTTCTACTTATGATGCTGATGTTTAGCACATCACAGCTCGTTCATCAAAGTGCACTGCTCTCTCACCATCTTGAGAAACTGTTTTTGTCTTCGAAAAGAGCTTAACACTATCGAATCTGAACAGGGTTGAAATTTGTTTTTATTGGCTGTAAATTCATGAGAAGACATTTCATGTGATTGGTTGATTTATATAGGTTACATGAATGACTATTGACCAATCAAATCACAGAATTAATACAAAAAAAATTTTTTCAATATTGAATCTATTATTTTAAGCATTTAAATTAACTAAATACAGAAATAAAAAGAAAGCTAAATAGTAAACATTACTGAACTTGAATAGCTAATTGAATCACTTATTTTAAATGCAATACCAGGGGTAAAGCATGGACCATACACATAGTGAAAAAAATTCAGACTTGAAATTTAGTGCGCAAGCAAAAAAAAAGAAAAAAAAATTATATGCGGGGCGCACATGCACACATCGAGTTTTTTTCACTGCATACACGATTTAAAATAGGTGAGGGAGGATTTGGTCGATTTGGTTTAATGGTATACATACTGTATTACAATTGGTTTTAATTTGAAAGTTCGTGAATCATATTGAAAGTAAATCTTTGCATCTCAAATTAAAACTCTACTGTACTTTTGTCTATTTCATGAACGCTCATGGTGCAGAGTCAATATAAATGGGACAAAATCATCTCTAGCAACTTTTTTTTTAATAACATTTAAATTGAAATTACCAACCAAATTTAATTTTAATTCTATAACGGGGGGTTTCAGAATTAATGATTTGGTATCCTATTTTTTTTTAAGTTAGTTTATGGCGACCCTATATGAATAGCCAATCAAAATTGAGCATGTAACTTTATAATATATTGG